CTAACTAACTCTGCTCCTGAATTCACTGCGTAGCAGTGAATGAATGGCGTGGTACTGCTCTCCTTTGGAGCGTGGTACGGCTCGGCTTAGGAGTTGCTGCTACACAGTGATTATATAGTACTTATTTTATAGTGTATTGAATATATACTTCTATACTAGTCTCGTGTTTTTTGATGAGCTCTGCCTTTAGAGCCTGCCTTTTAGAGCTTGCCTTTTGGAGCCTCGCTCTATGTCTATTCAGGATCGGCTTCGCCAATCCTTCAGGAGATTTGCCTCTGTCTATTCAGGATCGGCTTCGCCAATCCTTCTGCTTGGCCTCTATCTATTCAGGATCGGCTTCGCCAATCCTTCTGCTTGGCCTATGTCTCTTCAATTTCTCGGCTATCTCCCTCACCTCTCTCATATCATCATGCACCCGTACTATATCACATCGCCCAATAAGATCTCCAACTACTATCGCCGTCCCAATATCGCTCCCTTTGACAAACCTCTTCTTACTCACCCCAACACACAAACCAACTCCTTCCCCAACTCCTTCCCTCAACTGGTCTAACTCTCGAATCACCTCAAAACACTCCTCTTCATTCTTATTAAACCCGACTCCAGGATCGACGATCATCTGCCATTTCCGTACTCCACACTGGTAGGCGTGTTGTGTTTGCTCTTGGAGCTCTGCAACTACTGTGGCCATGTAATCCACAGAATCCACAGAATCCACAGCAGAATGCTGTGGATTCTGTGCAGTCTGTTGATTCTGTGTATTCTGTGTATTCTGTGTATTCTGTGTATTCTGTGTATTCTGTGTATTCTGTGTATTCTGTGTATTCTGTGTATTCTGTGTATTCTGTNTATCAACAGCACTGTCGTGCTGTTGCCTGTCGTGCTGTTGCCTGTCGTGCTGTTGCCTGTCGTGCTGTTGCCTGTCGTGCTGTTGCCTGTTTTGCTGCCTCCAATGGCCTAATATATATGCACACCCCCATCTCCCCACTACCTTATACATCTCCTCGCTCCCTTTCACATCATTGATCATATCCGCACCTTCCTCTAAACACTTCTCCGCAACCCTCGCTCGAAACGTGTCTACTGACACATATACCCCCCTCTTCTTCATCTCTCGCACCATCGGCAACACTCGCCTCAACTCCTCCTCCTCTTCAACAATTACCCCTCCTGGCTTGGTGGAACACCCTCCTACATCAACTATATCTGACCATCCGAAATCTATACGGTCTATAACTTCTTGCGCTTCGCCATAGTACTTGCCCCCATCGCTAAACGAGTCTGGTGTCACATTGATAATCTGCATAAGGAGCGTGCGATGGGGGTGCTGGCCTTCCAGGCCATGGCCAGTAGGCCATGGCCGGTATGGAATGAGCTCTTTCTTCTCCTGCTCTTGCTCTTTCCTCTGCTGCTCTTGCTCCTCCTGCTCTTTCTCCTGCTCTTTCTTCTCTTTCTTCTCTTTCTTCTCCACCTCTGCTAATGGCTTTAATACAAACTCCCTCTCCCACATCCTCTTGTGCGGCACAACCAAATCATCCTCCTCGATAACCTCTTCCCCATACTTAATTATATCCAAGTCTATAACCCTCGGCCCATTCTCTACTCCCTTCTTCCTCCCCATCTCCTTCTCTATATCCTTGCACAACTTAAGCAACTCTCTTGCACTTAAGCTAGTTCGTCCTCTCACCATCCCGTTGAGAAACTTCCCTTGGTCGAGGTAGTACATCGGATCCGTTTCATACAAACACGACGTCCTCTCAATCTCAACTCCTCTCTCGAGTAGCTGCACTGACCGGTGGATGTTCCGGTACCGGTCTCCAATATTGCTCCCAACTGATATATACACCGTCTTGGAATCACTCTCTTTATGCTCCTCTTCCCTCTCTCCCTTTTTCATTTGAGCACTTGCCCCTACAGCCTCAACCCCTTCAACGGCATTCCTCTTCATCACAGTAACTTCCACTTCATCACCACCTCCTTTCAATACTTGTCTTCCCACCTCCTCACTTAATGCCTCAACAGTATTAAACCGACTCTCCTCAATAAACTTCCTAACCAGAATCATACTCTGGATCCTTCCCCCTCGGATACTCACATCTACTCTCTGCTTATTCTTCTCCCTCTCTAATATCCCGATTATCGTATCCACCCCCATACAAACTCCATACTCCCCATTCTCATACTCAACTCGACAGTCTCCTTCCTCTCCTTGAATACTCACCTCTCCCTCATCCATCGCTTCCACCATCGACTCAAAACTACTATACTTCCTCCCCATCTTCTCCTTCACTCTTTTAGCTATCTCCCGATAATCCTCTACTATTCTATCCCCTGGCGATTCTCCTCTATTCACCTTGACCGTTACCCCAACATTCATCAACTTCTCCCCTACTAAGATCTTCCCATATATTCCTCGTACATATAATGCTCCCCGTCGAAACATAATGCTGTTGTTGTTGGTGACTGGAGGATCGCGATTTCGCTCCTGTAAATTTATTTGTATGGTGAGCTGCGATGAGGTTTTACAGCCTGAAATGCCACCAAAACAAATCACAACATAATGAATAAAAAGTGTAGTAGTTGTATAGA